TCAAGAGGAAGACAGACGTTGATAGTAGTGTTACTATCTACAAAGCTAGAATTGTCGCAAAAGGTTTTCGACAAGTTCAAAGTGTTGACTACGATGAGAGTTTCTCACTCATATATATGCTTAAGTCTGTCCGAATCATGTTAGAAATTGCCGTATTTTATGAAATCTGGCAAATGGATAAATAAAACTGCATTCCTTAATGGATTTCTTAAAGAAGAGTTGTATATGATGCAACCAGTAGGTTTTGTCAATCCTAAAGGTGCTAACAAAATATGCAAGCTCCAGCGATTCATCTATGGACTGGTGCAAGCATCTCGGAGTTGGAATACATGCTTTGATAAGTTGATCAAAGCATATAGTTTTATACAGACTTGCGGTGAAGCCTGTATTTACAAGAAAGTGAGTGGGAGCACTACAACATTTCTGATAAGTATATGTGAATGACATATTGTTGATCGGAAATAATGTAGAATTATTCTGTAAAGCATAAAGGAGTGTTTGAAAGGAGTTTTTCAAAGAAAGACTTCTGTGAAGCTGCTTACATATTAAGCATCAAGATCTATAGAGATACATCAAGACGCTTGATAAGTTTTTTCAATAAATACATACCTTGACAAGATTTTGAAGTAGTTCAAAATGGAACAGTCAAAGAAAGAGTTTCTTGCCTATGTTATAAGGTGTGAAATTGAGTAAGACTCAAAGCCCGACCACGGCAGAAGATAGAAAGAGAATGAATGTCATTCCCTATGCCTTGGTCATAGGTTCTATAAAGTATGCCATGCTGTGTACCAGATCTATTGTATACCCTACCACTGAGTTTGGCAAGGGAGTACAATAGTGATCTAGGAGTAGATCACTGGACAGCGGTCAAAATTATCCTTAGTGGAATAAGGATATGTTTCTCGATTATGGAAGTGAAAAAAGGTTCGTCGTAAAGGGTTACGCCTATGCAAATTTTGACACTAATCTAGATGACTCTAAGTCTCGGTCTAGATACATATTGAAAGTGGGAGCAATTAGCTAGAGTAGCTCCATGCAGAGCATTGTTGACATAGAAATTTGCAAAATACATGCGGATCTGAATGTGGCAGACCCGTTGACTAAGATTCTCTCACAAGCAAAACATGATCACACCTTAGTACTCTTTGGGTGTTAATCACATAGTGATGTGAACTAGATTACCGAATCTAGTAAACCCTTTGGGTATTGGTCACATGGCGATGTGAACTATGGGTGTTAATCACATGATGATGTGAACTATTGATGTTAATCACATGGTGATGTGATCTAGATTATTGACTCTAGTGCAAGTGGGAGACTGAAGGAAATATGCCCTAGAGGCAATAATAAAGTTATTATTTATTTCCTTATTTCATGATAAATGTTTATTATTCATGCTATAATTGTATTAACCGGAAACATAATACATGTGTGAATACATAGACAAACAGAGTGTCACTAGTATGCCTCTACTTGACTAGCTCGTTAATCAAAGATGGTTATGTTTCCTAACCATAGACAAAGAGTTGTTATTTGATTAACGGGATCACATCATTAGGTGAATGATCTGATTGACATGACCCATTCCATTAGCTTAGCACCCGATCGTTTAGTATGTTGTTATTGCTTTCTTCATGACTTATACATGTTCCTATGACTATGAGATTATGCAACTCCCGTTTGCCGGAGGAACACTTTGTGTGCTACCAAACGTCACAACGTAACTGGGTGATTATAAAGGTGCTCTACAGGTGTCTCCAAAGGTACATGTTGGGTTGACGTATTTCGAGATTAGGATTTGTCACTCCGATTGTCGGAGAGGTATCTCTGGGCCCTCTCGGTAATGCACATCACTTAAGCCTTGCAAGCAATGCAACTAATGAGTTAGTTGTGAGATGATGTATTACGGAACGAGTAAAGAGACTTGCCGATAACGAGATTGAACTAGGTATTGGATACCGACGATCGAATCTCGGGCAAGTAACATATCGATGACAAAGGGAACAACGTAGGTTGTTATGCGGTCTGACCGATAAAGATCTTCGTAGAATATGTAGGAGCCGATATGGGCATCCAGGTCCCGCTATTGGTTATTGACCGGAGACGTGTCTCGGTCATGTCTACATTGTTCTCGAACCCGTAGGGTCCGCATGCTTAAGGTTTCGATGATAGTTATATTATGAGTTTATGAGTTTTGATGTACCGAAGGAGTTCGGAGTCCCGGATGAGATCGGGGACATGACGAGGAGTCTCGAAATGGTCGAGACGTAAAGATCGATATATTGGACGACTATATTCGGACATCGGAAAGGTTCCGAGTGATTCGGGTATTTTTCGGAGTACCGGAGAGTTACGGGAATTCGTCGGGAGAAGTATTGGGCCTTACGGGAAAGAGAGAGGGGCTGCCTAGGGCAGGCCGCGCGCCCCCCAAGGCCTAGTCCGAATTGGACTAGGGGGAGGGGCTGCGCCCTTTCCTTGTTTCCTACTCCTACTACATGGAAGGACTCCTGGTTGGACTAGGAAAGGGGGAATCCTACTCCCGGTGGGAGTAGGACTCCCCTAGGGCGCGCCATAGAGAGGGCCGGCCCTCCCCTCCTCCACTCCTTTATATACGGGGGCAGGGGGCACCCCATAGACACAAGTTGATCCACGTGATCTTATTCTTAGCCGTGTGCGGTGCCCCCTGCCACCATAGTCCTCGATAATATTGTAGCGGTGCTTAGGCGAAGCCCTGCGACAGTAGTACATCAAGATCGTCACCACGCCGTCGTGCTGACGGAACTCTTCCCCGACACTTTGCTGGATCGGAGTCCGGGATCGTCATCGAGCTGAACGTGTGCTAAAACTCGGAGGTGCCGTAGTTTCGGTGCTTGATCGGTCGGGCCATGAAGACGTACGACTACATCAACCGCGTTGTCATAACGCTTCCGATGTCGATCTACAAGGGTACGTAGATCACACTCTCCCCTCTCGTTGCTATGCATCACCATGATCTTGCGTGTGCGTAGGAAAATTTTGAAATTACTACGTTCCCCAACAACAAGAACCAGGGACAATCTCCAACACAACCTGCCCTTATCCTCTGCTTATCATTCTTTATGTAATGAATTTGCACTCTCAGCTTCACAATGTACTCTTGAATTGCTGCTCTTAGTTCAATGACAGACAAGAACACCATGCCTATGTGAAAACTAACTTCTTTCATGTTCTCAGGCCTCCACCTTTTCAGCTTCACTTTCTTTTTCATTTTTTTCCTTCCTTGTGCATCTACTACTTCCACTTCCTCTGCTGAATCACTAGCTTCAAGCTCTGAATCTTGTAGCTCCTACAGTTCATCTGTATCATAGTCACTGTCCTGCTCCCATTCAGATTTCTTCTTTTTCTTCTTCTCAAATTTTTCATCAACCCATTCTTCATACAAATCATCATCATCTTTGCCTACTTCATTGTCAGAGTCGACCTAGTCGGAATCCCATTCACTGTCATCACTGTCATTGTCACTGTCATTTTCATTAGGGATTTCTTCTTCTACCACAAGTTTCCTCCTGCTTCTTCTAAGCTCATGTCCAACATTTTGTCCCACTGGTGGAACACTACTACTCCCTTCATTGCTGCTACCTGCATTAAATTGGTTCAGTCTGCCTTATGAGCTTTCACCTTAAACCTAGGACTTCTTCTTATTCCACTGCTAAACCCAGGAGATTTAGGGCTTAGTACAGGAGGTAGCTCAGGTGTACCACTAACATGAATATTATCAATTACACTGTCAAAGGCCATGTCTTTGTGATCAACAAACAATTGAAAGTACTGGAATTTTGGAACAACTGCTGTCATGTGCAAAGTGTCAGTGTCACAGTCCACAATCCGTAGTCCATCACCTAAATTCTTTCCAGGCAGTAACAAGTAAATAACATGTTTAGATTGGTCACTATATCCCAGTTGCTGCATAAAATCAGTGAGCCAGAGAGGAGACCATGTATCTACTTCGCAACCATTGAACAGAGCAACTTTCCCATCGGCATACGTCTTCGATCGGCCAAATCCGCAGAAAAATCCAGCATAGTTGATTTCTAAAAACCTCCTCTTGTGGTCCAAGGTATTGAGGGATTCAGTCAAATACTACCATCGATTCGAGCTAAATCAGAATCCGCAGAAAAAGAGGATCGAGGGTTAGGGTTACGGGCACCACACTGACCGTATTGCGGAGGAGGATCTTCGGGTCGCCGATGCACGGGCGCCATCCTAGCGGCGCCGCCGCCGGACAAGCGCCTGCGATGGCCGCCTACCTCTTCTCACCGGACCACCGCCGTCGATCTCCCCTGTTTCGCCAGAGCAGAGAAAGGTGGGGGAGAGGAGAGGAAAAGGACTACGGCTGCGAAGAGATTAGGGTTGGGGGGCTCTTTTGAAAAAACGCACGGCTGGTCGTTATCACGCGTGGGCCCTCGAGTCGACGTGGCGGCGGTCAAAGCGCCACGCGAGCTGGTCAGCGGCGGTCAGACGAAATTAGGACCTCGGATGAACAACTTAGAAAGAATTAGGACCCAGATATGCATTTTAAAAGAATTAGGACCCAATCAACACTTTTGGAAAAGAATTAGGACCGCGCTTGCATTTTACTCTTCAGCAAAATAAAGGAAAAGGGAGAGAAAAAAAGATATTACTTTCGAAAATGCTGGCGCTCACTTCCTTATCCCCGCGCCCGGCGCGCCCTTCCCCGTCTCCGGCCACGCCTCCTCACCGCCGGCCGCCGCCGCCTCGCGGCCGTATCCGCCCCACATACGCCGTAGCCACGGCCGCGTCCGACGGCGGCGGCGCGGCCGACGACTACCACTCCACCATCCGCTCCCTAAACTCGCACGGCCGCCGCCACGTCCCCCGCAAATCCCTCGGCCAGGTCCGTCCGTCCAGACACCCTCTCCCTCCCCGTTCCATTCCATGGCGGAACCCCCAGTCCGCGAGTTTCTTACCGTGGGGTTGCGCTCACTGTGCTGCAGAACTACATGCTGAACGCGAGGGTGAACGAGGAGCTGGTGGCGGCGGCGGGGGTGGAGGAGGGGGACGTCGTGCTCGAGATAGGCCCCGGGACGGGCTCTCTCACCGCCGCGCTGCTCGCCGCCGGCGCCACCATCGTCGCCGTCGAGAAGGTTCGCCTATTTCAGTTTGCTAGTCTACCCGACCAGTAGCCCTGTAGTTGATCTCTGCTAACTGAATTCATCCATAATCTGCAATACATCTTTTTATTATGCGTCTGTCTGGTGACAGGATAAGCATATGGCTACCCTTGTGAGAGATAGGTTTGGATCCACAGAGCAATTGAAGGTACTGTCCTGTTCTCAAATGAACATATTGGATTGTTTCATCCCTGTGTTTGACTACTGATGTTGCTCGAATGGTAGTAAAAGGCAACCCCATGGCTTGTCCCTTCATTCCTTCAAATTTGTCTGGAAGCCGGGGCCGGCAGCAGGGTCACTCTTCTATATGAAAGCATTTTTTGCATAGTGTATCTACTAAAACACATGATACATTACGGACAGTTGTAAATACCACCAATTGAATGATGTATCTCAGTATCAAATTTATAATGTTCTTGGTTATTATGTACAGTGATTTGGTAGTGAACTGCATTCTAACTTAACCTGATTTATGTTGGAAAAACATGCCACATTTTTACATGAAAAGTAAGGTTCACATGTTATGGATTATTCTGAATTTTGGACAGAGTAAACTTATGTGGGTATGTTAGTCCATGAACACTTCTGTTGGCTGTGAACTTCTAGCAAGTATATGTTGTGATAGATGGTTGTTAACATGAAAAATGCCTAAGGTGCTAAGCTCAAAAGTTATCATGTAACAGGTACATAAAGATACAGTGTTATAGCCATCGTGATAGCTTTTAATACTTTGCTCTTTATAGTGATATAACTTATAAGTATGATAACCATCCTTTGTTTCTCAATAAGGGCTATTGTACCGACCATTCTCTGGTTGCTCTTCTGGATATCTAAGATAACAAATCTTACTATTTAATAGTTTGCTCTTCTTGTCACCAAAGATGGACATTTTGTTACATACATTTAACAAAGCTAGAAATTCTAATTGGATGTTAAATCAAACATAGTTCTCATCCGGTGTGTAATGAGTTTGAAATTTAATGCAGGTCATTGAAGAAGATATTACAAAATTTCACGTTCACTCCCATTTTCTCCCTATCCTGGAGGAGAAATCTCATGGCAAGAAAAAATACGCCAAGGTTAGCATTGATGTTTGGCATTATTTGTATTTCATTGAACTTGTAGAATTCGTTAAGTATTGGTCATGATGAAGACGTTTTTGTGTCCACACGATACTTTGTATTTTGTAGGTTGTGTCAAACTTACCATTCAATGTCAGCACTGAAGTTGTCAAACAAATTCTTCCAATGGGAGATGTTTTCTCTGTCATGGTGCTCATGCTTCAGGTTTGCATCAAATATTTTTGTGCATTAAGTGGGTACATGTTGCTTGCAAGTTCCAGTTAATTACAACCCAGTATTGGTTCAAAAGATGACTGAACTTTGGTTATTTTCTGCAGTATAAACTGCTTGTACGATTTGTATGTTCGAAGTACTGCTCATTTCTTTTTCGAGAAAACGCAAAGACTTTGTGTTTCTTTTCATTGAACAGAAAGAGAGTTTAGCAGTACAAGCCTCCGAGGAGGATTACAAAATCAGCATGAAAGAAATTAGTGGATATCCCGTTTGTCGGTAGGACAATGCCTGGTCGTATTGGTTCAGAGGATGACTGAACTTTGATTATTTTCTGCAGTATAAACTGCTTGTACGATTTGTATATTTGAAGTACTGCTCATTTCTGTGTATCTATTAATGTCAATCATAATGATGTTCGTATGCGCCTTCTATTTTCCTCACTTCTGCCAAATTTTATGTTTGATTTTTCGGATTTTTTTCCCAGTGATTTTTTGTCCTTGTTATATGTGAGGTTCTTCTACTCTTCAATATCTATGGTGATTCATTACTTCTTTCGTAAGAAAAGGTAAATCTGATTAATTCTTCATTTCAGGATGAAGCGGCACTACGCCTTGCAAATGCTTCAATACAAACACCAGAGTACCGACCTATCAATGTGTTTGTGAATTTCTACTCTGGTAAGAGGGTCTTCCTTTAGTTTGACCTGTTTGATACCTTCATGTCACTGGAATACACCTTATCTCAGCTATCTGTATTCCATCGTCCAGGCTTGAAAATAGGCTTACTCTTTTATTCTTTTTGTTTTTGTAAGTAATCATGCTTTTCTCTGAGGAAAACAGTAAGTAAACTCTCATAACAATGGGTATATTGTTTTGGGCTTTATACAAGGAATAGTTTTTCTCCATTGTTTCGATTTTCTACATGTAGATTCTCTGATGCACATTAGCTAGTATTCTTGAGCAATTAAATGATCCAAAGTGCCGTCATTGCCTGCATCTGATGGGAGCGCAGTGGCATCTCCTTGCCTACCTGGGTTCAATCCCTGCGTGGGCAGATTATATCTCTTCTGTACTGTAGTAACTGCTACTGTGTAGCTATGCAATTCATGCCCTGACAGTCATCAAATCATCTGAATTGTTTTCCAGCGTCTTAACAATTCACTTAGTATGCCTAGTCACACATCGCAGTTAATGACATGCATGCGTTATCTTTCTTTTTTGTAGAACCTGAATACAAGTTCAAAGTAGAGAGGGCCAACTTTTTCCCTCAACCGACGGTAATCAATTTCTTATTTCAGATGTCCTTATGCGCAGCACGCTATAACAGTGCTTGGGGTTTCATAAATGTGGCATGTGAGGACTTATCATGGATACCATGCAGGTTGATGGTGGCGTTATAAGGTTTAAAATAAAGGATGCTGGGGAGTATCCGCTTGTTAGTTCTAACAAAAGTTTCTTTTCAATGGTGAGTCAGACTGCACACATAAGTTTCCTCTTTTTTTCACTTAACCGCCAGTTGTTGGTGATAGCCATTAAGACTGGTTCGTTCCCTTTAATTCCAGGTGAACTCCGCGTTCAATGGGAAGCGCAAGATGCTTCGGAAATCACTTCAACACCTATATTCTTCTGCTGACATTGAGGCTGCTCTGACCAATATCGGTCTTCCGCCTACGGTAAGCTCTCCCTTCATCCATCCATCCTCTCTCGTGCACTAAATTCACTATTGCTGCAGGCTAGACCGTCTGAACTGGGGATGGATGATTTCGTGAGGTTGCACAATCACCTGGGAAAAGTATGACCACCCCTGCGTTTCAAAATGCGTATGGAATCATCTTATTGGTTTGCTCGCTGGACTAAGCATGCCGCTGAAGTGATTTGGTTCACAGCTAGAGCGCACTGCAGCTTGCAGGTAAACCATGTACAGAAGAGATGGCGGGTTGATTGGCTCAAGATATTGTTCTTTTATCTGATACAACAGATAATTCTCCAAATCATTTCAGATTATGCTTGCTGACAGTGACCGCCTAGTATTCTCCAGCAGTCCCACAGCCTTCACCGCAACATAATCGGTGGCACAGCTTCAGCCCACGGCGCTCTTGCATGGAGATGATCATAGTGATTGTGATCCCTATTCAAAACCAATGATAATATGCAGGACATGATTTGGTCACACAGGAATCGCAGTTTTTTTCCTTATCGCAGATAGCATCCCTGCAAGAGTGAAGATACGCAGGCGTTGCATGTGTATAATTTACTGGAATTATCTATCCTCTTGTACTAATCTTCGCAAGTTGGAGGCAGAAATGTAGAGATCAAATGTCTGTCAGAACAATCTGAAGATCAGGCAAAGATGCTAGCTGCTCATAGTAAATTGCCAAGAGTATTTTTATGTGTTGACATAGATGGTAGATAGAGGTACGGCCGTTGCTTTTTGAGCTTAAGTTTTGGCTATAAACTACAACGAAACGTGCAGATGCTCGATGTTTGATTGTGCAGCATTCTAATACCTTTTTGCCTGGCAGCGTGTCGCTGTGATGCAACATACAGTTACTGCCAGTTATTTTCCTGACAAATATTGGTTAGCATGTTGTGCTGTTATTTTATTTTATTTCTTTTCTCTTGTTGGTTAAATATCTGCGATAATGCTTGACTCTGGGTGTGATTAATACATTATCTTCTTGCCACTATGGTTGTTTATGTGGACATGTGGTTGCCAGGGGCTTATCCTCATTTTCTAAAAACAATAAAGTAAGGTTGTTTTAAGCTTTTGATTCAGCTACTCTCAAGTCTCGGTATGCTCAATTTGACTTGCTCTGAAAGTAGTGTTTCCCAGGTGACATTAGCCTTTTATGCAGAGGTTAGTATTTCTTTACAGATAACACCTTGTATTTTGACTTGAGGTGGCCTCCTCGCCTACTCTTTGCCCCATGCGCCTCGTCTTGTGTCATCCACCTCCACTTCGTGCGACTTCAGACGTGTTTGGTTGTTTGCATGAGGCCCAACCAAGCATGTGCGGAAAGAAAATGGGTTGTTTGGTTGCCCGCATTCACTGTTTGGCCTGCATAGCATGATGTTTAAAGCACATCACAGCCAGGTCTGCTAGGAACCCCCGAATCGCCAGTTTCTAGCAAGGCAGGCTAGGCCGAAGCAGGGGAGGGGACACAAGGTGCCGAGCTTATGCGACCACGAAGATGGCACAAGCTCGCGCGTGTCTCCGAAATATCGATGGGAGGATTTTGGTTTACCTCCCGCCGATTGAATCACTCTATATAGCCCCCTTCGTCTCACCATCAAAACTCCCTCCACCATCCCCCCCTCCCGCCCTTTTGAGTTTTCCCTCCGACGCGCATCGGCACCGACGAGCAGGTAAGCGACGCTTCTTCTCCGGTCGGCGGTCCACGGCAGCGGCGACTCGTGTCATCTTCCCTGGCGTGTTCCCTGTCTCCCTCGAGCTGCATCGATGGCCTCTTTGAGTTCAGCCACCCCCTTCTATGTATTCGTTGTAGCTAGATCTGAGAGCGTGTGGTAGGGTTTGATCTGAGAGCGTGTGGTAGGGTCTGATCTGTGAGCATGTGGTAGGGTTTTGTAGCATGCTAGGGTTGTATCGTAGTGTTGAACACAATGGATTGGAATACTAGTAGTGATGGATTGATAGAATGCTTGTTGATGTATGCTGCTCATATCGTATTGAGCTAGATGGTCCAGTAGTGTGCGCTTTGCATATTGTCCATGTGTGTGCTACGATTGTAGGACATGACCATGCAAACACAAGAGGTTAGTCAGGCCATTGTCCTGTCTGAGAGCCAGTTCCCTCCGTCCTATGTCGAGGACTCCTAGCCCCCCCCCCCCATTGAGGACCAGATGCCTCCTGATTCAGATGTGTTTGAGGTTTCAGGCATGGCTCCTCCTTTTCGTGCCTACAACATTTGTGCTTGTTGTGCCAAATGTTGTTGTTGTTGCCACTGCACAAACGATAGCCGCAAAGGCAAAGAAGGATGGTAGGGGGAACAACATGAAGTGGCAACCGTTCATGTCCACGTTCGTTCTTAACAAGATGCGTGAGCTCATATCTAGTAGGGTTAGGACTAGCAAGGGCTTCAAGGAGGTGCACTTGAACACCGTTGCGAAGCAGGTGTTCGAGTTCTATGGCCAGGAGGTGTCTTCCAGCTAGGTCTACAACCACCTCAGGAAGTGGGGAGCTAGATGGATCCAAGTGTCCAAGCTTAGGGACCTTAGTGGCGCCTCATGGGACCAGACCACTTACTCGATCGTTCTAGAGGTAGAGCACTACTCCGGCCATGTCACAGGTAGCTCACGCCCCCTTGTTTAATCATGTCAACCATTTGTTTTCTTGCAACTAATAAGGGAGAGAAGTTGATCGACATCCACCCTGGCCTCTACACCGCCGTCATGGACCAAGGTGGCTTCAGCCAAGAGGCTCTGATGGCTGCTCCGAGCCACCCGCTGGACAACAAGGCCCATGGTGTTGGGTTTGTTTCCATGGCAACGCTCACAGGGTGCTCTGGCTCAGGAGCTGGCTGGGCAAGCACTACTACTAGTGTTGTATCTGGTGGTGGTGCCCGCATGCATGATTCTTGACGACGATGGCGATGACGATGACGACGACGACGTATATTTTGTGTAGCTAGGGCTTGAATACTATTGATGGTCTCTATATTTTCATGAGGTGGTATATACTAACCCCTCACGTTGATGTTGAACTTGCGATGGTAGGACTACACCCTATTTTGGATGCGCCGTTGGGATAATACCATAGTAGTGGTAGATTGAACTTGTTATGTCGTATGATCATGCATGCTTTGTTATTTTTCATGTCTAGTGTTCTCCATTGCTTGCTGCTTGAACTGTTGCTCTTCTGCAATGCTAGGACAAGTGGTATGTGGTGTTCCACGATAGGGTTCCAGGGGTTTACAATTGATGTGAAGCATGCAATGAAAAAGTGTCAGGCTATAACAATAGCTGCCACAGAGGGTTTAAGAGTAGGCAGACGGTAGAGGGTGCTTACTCCAAGGTCATGCTGAAGCAGCATTGCAACAATGTTGAAGTTGGCAAGGTGGATCGACATTTTGGGCTAAAGAACTTCATCATCATCGTCTAGTTCGTCATGATTGCAGTGCTGTGACATTGGTGCGATCGTGTGTAAGCTGTAGCAGGTAAGCTTACCAAGCATGGGACAAGGTTACCACACCTTGCAACCTGTGTGCAACCAAACACCGTGTATTTGCAAATGCCCGACCAATGCAGGACAACAAACGCCATGCCAAAAAACGATCCCCTAATGCAAGCAGCATAGATATGGGCAACCAAACGATGTGCAAATGATGGTTTTTCCCCGTTTTTCCTCAGCCAGGCCCAATTGAGTCAAGCATGCAATGCAAGCAAATTGTAGATGGCAACCAAACACGCCCTTCAGTGACGAGATTGATTGGAATGATGTTGTGGAGTCACCGAGTCATTCGAGGCCATGAAGGACGAGGCCGCCATCGTTGTCATCGAAGAGGAAATGATGTTGCACGCCACGCGGCAACAAATTCTTCAACTGTCAAGGTCATCACCATCATGTCCGAAGAGGAATCAAGGAGGCTCCATGCAACAAAATGGTGATTCAACCGTCAAAGATGAGAGGGCGCTAAAGGTGGCCACGGACGCTTCTGCCACCAAGGTCATCATTTGTGAGGAGTTGGATTCCCATAGGAGGGGTATCGCCGAGGCCGCATCTGGGTGGGGTGGTAGGCCTATAGGAGGGGTGCCACCGAGGCCATTGTCTAGGTCGAGCGGGAGTCCCCAACAAGAGGTGCCAAGGAGACCGCAGCCGCCTTAATGGAGATGCCTCCGGACTCCCCTAACCACGGCGGCCAGGAGCCATGCGTTATCATTAGATCATGCCGTCGTCGTAGTCGCATCTGGACCTTTATTATGTAATAATGTCTATGTTGAATTTGGAACTTATATCTTTGAATGAGAACATGGCAGTTTGAGAGAGTGTGCATCACCCCAAAATGGTGGGCCCCACATGACAGTAATAAATAAAAGTATAATAAAGATTTGTAGTTCTAGGGAGTTTGACTTTACACACCAACTTTGAAATCTTTTGATTGAAAAGACGTGTCACACCGACAGGTGGGCCCCACCTCACAGCCCCTCGTGTTCCCTCGCGCGGTCGCGGCTATAAACCCCTCCCTCCCCCTCGCGGGCCGCGGACCAGCAGCCCGTCTCGCCCTGCCCGTCTCTGTCTCCCCGCTCCCGTCGCCGCCGGGTCCAAACCAGAGGAGCCGCGCCCGTGGAAACCTAGGGTTCCGCCCTCCCCGCCCTCGGAAGGTAACGCCGCGCAACCCCACGCCTCTCGCATGCCGCGATTACTCCCCGAAGCACGGCGCCCGTCCGCGTTTCCCCCCTGGATCTGGCGCTCGCTCGGCCGCCTCGGCCTGGGGAGCTCAGATCTGGCGATTTTAAATATTTTTCTGGCCGTTTGAATCTAGCTCGCATTTGCTTTGCGTTGCTTTTTCATGGCCCCTTCTAACCGGTAGCTCTGGCGGATTCTCGGCACGCAGGGGGCTCGGATTAGCTGCGCCAAACCTAGAAGCGTGTCAAAGTCTTGTGCATGCTAGCGAGAATTTGTGTGCTGTTTAAACTGTGAAAAGTTGCTCGTGGTTGCCAGACGCTGCCACGTACTCCCTCCTTTCTTAAATACAAGTCTTTTGTAGAGATTTCATTGCAAACTACATACGGATGTATATAGATGTACGTATTTTAGAGTGTAGATTCACTCATTTTGCTCCATATGTAGTCCCTGATTGGAATATCTAAAAAGACTTATATTTGGGAACAGAGGGAGTAGTAGGGTACCGCAGCGTTGCTATTCACCGGGATGTTCTGTTACGGTTTATCATGGCCATGTGCTTGTTAGGTCTTGGGGGTTCAGTCGGTCTGGATTGTTGGCATATCGAAGCTCTCTCCATTCCAAAATATAGTCATCTGTAGATTTTTAACCCAAAGTCAAAACTTTGTAGGGTTTGACCAAGTTCATAGAAAAAAAATTAACATCTGGATGCAGTGATGCCCTATATTTTGAAATAGAGGGAGTATCATGGATACTACTCTGCTCTCCTGTGCTCCCGTTTGAAGTAATACACTACTGTCATCCTAGAGGTTTTTCATTCGCTCATACAGCTCAACACTGATTAGTAAACTGTAAGGACACTATTTATTTAGACTGCAAATCAATAAAGCATATTTGGGTTCACCATTTCGCTGGTCAGCTGATCAGTTGTGTTGGACACCAAGGTGTTTGAGCTTCCCGTGCTTTACATACTGTCATCACTGCAGTTTGCATCCATTTGGATATGGGTAAACGTATCTAGCTAGCAAACGTGCAATTCCCTGTAAGTACCTCAAATGTGCTGATTTTTTGCAAATCTGCTAGTGATGTTTATGTCTCTAGTTTCCGTGTTAAATTTCTGGAATACGTGAATCTGCTATTATCTATCAAGGATGTGTATTATAATCCTGCTAGCACTTGATAGTAAGTTCAGTGTGTCCGTAGCTAACAGTTCCTTTGACTTCTATCTTCGAATAGGTTTGGAGAAGAGCTGTTTATCCAGCAACATGAGGCCAATTTTCTGTGGGAACCTTGACTATGATGCCCGCCAGTCTGAAATCGAGCGTCTTTTCGGCAAATATGGAAGAGTGGAGCGAGTTGACATGAAGACAGGTAAGACTATTCATGTCCATTCTCTAGATTTAAGTTGGCCTTTTTGCCACCTGATTTGCTGTTGCACCTATTTGGTGGTCTCAGTTTCTGTATTCAGTTCATTAAGACACCAAACTCTTCTAAGAAATAAGCTTACAAGTTGCTTGAGTAAACAGCTTTAAATTGTGTTTTTTCGTATCCAATTTACCCGCTGCAAACTGTTATTTACTCAAAAAAGGATATTGATGTGCACAAATACATTAGCTCCATACAAGTCTTCCAAGGGAATGGAGTGAGTGGTGTGCTCAGATAGCTTTAACAAGATTGGGTGGCTGCCAAGTGGAAACAGACGTCCTCGTTGCTGCAAAGACTGCCATCACTTCTTCAACCATCCCTGGTGCAGTATGCTGCGGTCTGTTATAAGATATGATTGGACAAAGTGTGTATCAGGCCAGAGAATGTTCAGCAGAATCAGATTATGTTTATGTTATTTTGTCAAAGTCATTGGACAAGTCCAAACCAGGATAAATTTAGAAAAAGAAGTTATTTCTTAAAGCTTAGGTCCAGTACTCAATTGTTTCTTTGCCGCAGGAATATCACGAAGCATCTGTGCTCTCCCTGGTTGATGGACTGGGCTCTACCTTTCCTGCCCGAGCCCCTGCCTCATGCCCTGTCCATTTCCAGGAGTTCACAGTCCACCATGACATCTGTCACTTGGAAACGACCACCTCGTGACTGATGTCTTACTTTTACATCAATGTTGCACCCTCCTCCCCCGCCCGGTTACACTCTCCCACGTCAATCCAACCATGCCAATCTCATGGCCGGCTGGAGAAGAGTAGAGGTTCCACCGGCAGCACCACCACCTCTTTTGGTGTACCACGAACGTTCGGATTATCATACTCTGACATCATTTAGTGCAACATACAAAAGGTCTGTTCCTATTTGTGCTGACATATCAATTTGTAGCTTACCGAGGTGATCTTGCAGTTTTTTGTATCTTACAAAGATTTTGATCACCATACTTGCCTTTATCTGTTTACCCTAAGGTTAGTAAAATGTGTGAGTTACTTTAAATAACTAGTCACTTCTCCATGTTCAACGTTGAAGGATTTGCGTTCGTCTACATGGAAGATGAACGTGATGCTGAAGATGCTATCCATAGACTTGACAGAACTGACTTTGGTAGAAAAGGGAGGAGACTGAGAGTCGAATGGACAAAGGTGCGCAGTTGTCAACAAATAATAAAAGTCATCTCTCAGTAGCCTTATTTTTCTTAATATCTGCTGTCTATTATTTGTGTAGGAGGATCGCAGTGGTGGTCGGAAAGGAAATGGGAAGCGATCTCCAAGCAGCGTGAAACCAACCAAAACCTTGTTTGTGATCAACTTTGATCCAATCAACACAAGGACAAGAGATTTGGAGAAGCACTTTGATCTGTATGGCAAGATTGCAAATATCAGAATCAGAAGGAACTTTGCATTTGTCCAGTATGAAACACAGGAAGATGCTACTAAAGCTCTGGACGGTACTAATGGAAGGTACTAACACTTGTTTCTTGATGTGCTTATAAGGACCACTTGCACTGTCATGACATAGAAGGCCTGCAGTAATAGCTTGATTATAACTGAATTCATTCTTTTGGCAGCACTGTGATGGACAGGGTCATCTCTGTTGAGTATGCACTTCGTGACGACGATGAAAAAAGGAACGGGTACAGTCCAGACAGGAGAGGAGGAGGCCGTGATAGATCTCCGGACAGAAGGGACAACCGTGGTAGGTCCGCAAGTCCTTATGGCAGAGGGCGGGAAAGGGGCAGCCCAGACTATGGCAGGGGCAGGGAGAGGGGCAGCCCGGACTATGGCAAAGGTGGTGCCAGAGATAGTCCTGACTATGTCCGTGGTGGAAGCCCATACGGCAGCAAAGGGGATGACAGGGCTAGCCCCAAGTATGACCGTGAACGCCGTGAAGCCAGTCCTGCCTATGACAGGCGCCGCAGGTTAGTACGCTGAAAATGCTTTCTTGTGCTTGCTAAATCGTGTTGAGGTGCTGCACTGAGCTTGTTTTCCACTGCGCAGCCGCTCGCCTGCAAGGTCGCCTGCAAGGGAAGATAGGGACTGAAACTGTGCATGGTTGTGCTCAACGCCACCTGCTTCGGACCAAATGGCTGCACCTGTCATTAGTGTGATGCTCACTCAAGTTGGTTATGTTAAGTAGCCAGAAACTTCTGTAATATCTCTATTAGCTAGCTCTAGCTGAATGCTTTGTCAATTTGGTTTGAACTGTGATGATTGTTAGCTTAAACTTTGTCCAAACGGATTCTTTCAGTGAGACCATTTGCGGAGCGATGAGATGTACCGTGTATCGACCGACAGCAGTATTCTAGCTTTGCACTTTGGTTATTCTACCATGTCCCTGTTCTCTGCTGTTGTTTCTGTTTTGTGCTGGTCGACATGTCCAGGGTTCTATTGTAGCAATATGCCAGCAGCATAGCCCTGGACATGTTGCAAACAGTGTTGCTTTCTTGGATTTCTGGGCACTTTTTAAATGGTTGATGATCAATTCATGTGGATGGAATTTCACATGAAGCTGTTGTAACGACCCTCGCGGATCGAACAGAGAGGAAGAAGGGATCGAGAGGGAGGAAGAACTTGAGGGAGAAGGGGATGAGTCCGCGAGAGGAAGAAGGGATCGAGAGGGAGGAAGAACTTGAGGGAGAAGAAAGGGGATGAGAGCTGGGGAAGAAGATCGAGAAGGGTTCAGAATATTCGATTTCAATCGCTGCTGCCTGGCCTCTGGCCGCACACCAGCTTATATCTCTCTCGGTGGCCTAGTGCCCCACATGCCATACACACACACACCTACACAGAGACTAGTCTTCCCTCACTGGCTGTGGCCCCTTTTGTTCTCCTCAGGTCGTCGCACCAGCAGTGCCTCGCTGCCCGCCTTCTCCACTGTTGTGGCAGCAGGGGAGGAGGGCGTGACATTTGCCCCTCCTTGGGATGGAGCTCCGTCGACGAGGTCAATGTCGGGGAAGCGTTGGCGCAGAACATTGTAATTTTCCCATGTCGCACTTGCCGGTGACAGCATGCGCCAATGAACCAGAACCTGTGGGATCGCTGCATTGCCTTGCTTGACCAGACGGCGTTCCAGGATGGCCTGCGGCACCAAGTCGCCAATTGTGAGGTCTGGAGGAGCTGGCAGGTGATTGAAGACCGGTGAATAGTCCGCTGTGAATGGCTTCAGCTGTGACACATGAAAAACAGGGTGAATTTTGCTTTCCGGTGGCAATTCAAGCTTGTATGCCGTCAATCCCACCCGACTGAGTATCTTGTATGGGCCAAAGAACTTGTAAGGAAGCTTCGGGCAGGGCCGGCTGACGACAGAGGACTACACATATGGCTGTAACTTCAAGAGGACTTGTGCACCCACGCTGAATTCCCGCTCAGTACGTTTGCGGTCCGCGTGATGCTTCATGCGTTGCTGGGCATGCAGGAGGTGTGCTTTGAGCATTTCAGTGAATTGTTGATGCTCAGCGGCCAGTTCCAGGATGGAGTTTGGTGTCTTGACAGTGAAGAGGTTGGGTAGAGCTCCAAAATTTGGTTCCACTCCATAAAGAGCCTTGAATGGAGTACACCCCAGGGCACTATGATGGCTGGAATTGTACCAGAATTCCGCCATGGGCAGCCAGCGCTTCCAACGGTGCGGTGTGTCATGGACGGCACAACGTAAGTAATGCTCCAAACACTGATTGACACGCTCGCTCTGCCCATCTGTCTGCGGATGATCCGCCGTGGTGTATAGCAGCTTAGTGCCGACGAGTGCAAACAATTCTCTCCAGAGAGCGCTCGTGAAGATCTTGTCGCGGTCAGAGACGATAGAGTCCGGCACGCCGTGGAGCTTGACGACGTTGTCGAGGAACACCCGAGCCACATGTGGTGCTGTGAAAGGGTGGTGTAATGCCATGAAGTGGGCGTATTTGGTCAGATGATCCACCACCACGAGGATGACATCTGCGCCTTCCGATCGTGGCAAACCTTCGATGAAATCCATGGTGACATCGCCCCAAGCTCGAGCAGGTATGGGTAATGGTTGTAGGGTACCCGAAGGATGTGCGTGTTCATGTTTGGCATGCTGACAAACGGCGCACTGCTTGACAAATTCCTCCACCTGCAGTTTCATCCCTGGCCAATAGAATAGATTCTTCAGTCTGAGATAGGTTGGTCGTATCCCCGAATGCCCCCCCACGGCAGCTGAGTGTAGCTCGCTGATTAGTTTTGTTTGGAGGGCAACATTTGCACCAATCCATAAGCGGCCCTTGTACTTGATAATGCCCTGTCCAATTCATGGCCTTGATCGTCCGGGCTACGGACAGTCAATGCTTGTAACAACTCATTTGCTTTGGCGTCAGTCTGATAGGAATTACGAACCTCTTGTATCCAGGAAGGCTGACAAGTCGAAGACGTGGTCACAGAGAACAAATGGCCTATACGGGACAATGAATCAGCCGCGGTATTGTCAGTGCCACGTCTGTATTTGAATTTAAACTGAAGGCCCCCCAATTTGGCCATGGCCTTGCGCTGAACTTCCGAGCCAAGTTGTTGTTCCCCAAGTGTGCATAGGCTCTTATGATCCGTCAGGATAGTGAATTGCCCTTGCTGTAGGTAGTGGCGCCAACGATCAACAACCAGCATTACTGCAAGGAATTCTTTCTCGTACACTGATAGCTTCAAATTGTTGACACCGAGCGCGCGGCTGAGAAAAGCAATTGGGTGACCCTGTTGGGACAACACCGCACCAATCCCTGTGTCACACGCATCCGTCTCCACTGTAAATGGCAAGGAAAAATCAGGGAGGGCAAGCACTGGTGTTGTTACCATGGCTTGTTACAGTTTCTGAAAAGCTACTGTTGCTGCATCAGTCCAAGTAAAACCTTTCTTGCTCAAGAGAGATGTGAGAGGTTTGGTGATAATGCTGTAGTTCCTAACAAACTTGCGATAGTATCCAATTAAACCAAGAAATGCCCGGAGTTCTGTGGGAGAGGATGGTTGTGGCCAGTGTTGAATGGCATACGTCTTGTCGGTTTCAGTGGCGACTCCCTCAGCTGAGATCACATGACCCAAATAACTGATCGAAGGCTGAGCGAAAGAGCACTTTGAAAGTTTTGCATAGAGTTGGTGCCTACGTAAGGTAGTAAACACTTGTTGCAGGTGCTATAAGTGCTCATCAAATGAGGGGCTGTAAGTCAATATGTCGTCCAGGAAAACGATGACAAACTTACGCGTTGTTGGTGAAAGGACGAAATTCATCAAGCACTGAAAAGTTGGTGGTCCATTCGTCACCCCGAATGGCATCACGCGAAACTGGAAATGGCCATGGTGGGTCTTGAATGCTGTTTTTGGTTCATCCTCAGGGCGCATCCAAATTTGATGGTAGCCCGCCCGTAGATCAATTTTGGAGAAAAAACGTGCACCAGCCAATTCGTCAAGTAGCTCGTCAATGACCGGCAATGGGAACTTGTTCTTTATAGTGATGTCATTTAGCCGACGATAATCGATACAGAAACGCCAGGTACCGTCTTTCTTCTTTACTAGTAGCACCGGGGCAGCAAAGGGACTGATGCTCGTGGTGATGAGGCCAGCTTTTAATATCTCTACAACCTGGCGTTCAATTTCATCCTTCTGCAATGGCGAGTAGCGATACGGTCTGACATTGGGTGGAGAGGAACCGGGCGTGAGATGAATTGCATGATCAAACTCACGATGTGGCGGTAGCGTGGTTGGTTCCTGAAAAATGTCAGCAAATTCTTCCAGAAGTGCTTGTAACTGAGGAGGCCTGGAGTCATCAGAGGACTCGGATTTTTGTTCCTGTTGAATGACTGCAAGTGCCCACACTTCATTGCCCTGAATCCATTTATACAGCTGATCCGCATGCATCTCAGTAAGTGCAGGCTCTGTCGGAGTACGCACGCCCTGCAACTTGATGTTCATATTGGCTTATCTGAATTCCATGGTTTTGAGTCCCCAATGACAGTTCATAGGACTGAATTGAGCGAGCCAATTGACTCCCAAAACTGCATCATAAGCGCCAAGCTCAAGCAACCGCATATCAGTGTTGAAAGTGTGGCCCTGACACCACCACTGTAATTGAGACACTTGTTGCTTGGACTGCAGGGTTTCTCCGTTGGCTACCCTCACTATGACAGGATCGACGTCCTGAATTTTACAACCGGCACGCTCTACAAACGCTGAATTCACAAACGTGTGGGTACTGCCCGAATCCACCAGCAACAACATTACCTGATTGCCAACTAATGCTCTTAACCTCATTGTACCCGACGACTCCGTTCCCGCGACGGCATGCATGGAAATTTGACAGCAAACTGCTTCTTCTTCTGTATTTTCATCCAGCAACTCCAGAGCACGTATGGCATCATCCGATAGAAGCTCACCATGATCGCCAACCTCAATGGTCAGAAGCTGACCCACCTTGTTACACTTGTGTTCCCGGGAATACTTATCGCCGCACTTAAAACACAGGCCAATGGCTCGCCTGAATTCCCGCAGTTGTCGTTCACGGCCAAAATCATCCGGGCCGCGCTTAGCACCATCAATGCGGGGTTGTACTGGTCCAGGAGCCATTGCAAGCACCGGGGGTGGAGGAATGGCGCGAGTATACACCGGTGGGCGACCCCGTGACTTACTGTGTTCAGATTCTTCCTCCTGAATCCGAGCAAGTGCCGCTGCCCTGGAAACGCTCGTCGGCGCGTGCAGGCGCACTCCTGTGCGGACCTCATCCTTGAGACCGATGATGAACTGTGAGACAAAGAATTTCTGATTTAAGGATGGGTCCAGAGCAATCAGATGGTACATAATTGCCTCAAAGGAGAGTCTGTATTCAGAAACAGTGGAGGTCTGCTTGAGATGATGCAGGCGATGCAGCAAAGCATCGAATTCATCCTGACCAAATTCAGTCTTCACTGCCTCCATGAATGATAACCAATCCCGCAAACCATGCACACGCTTGTACGCCTGACACTAGAGAGCGGCGTGGCCTTCCATGTACAACACTGCCGTGGCAACCCATTGCTCCGGTGGCGTTTGATACAGATCGAAGTAAGT